TGTATATAAAGAAAAGTCAGTCGCCTTTTGTAGTGACTAAACCAAGCGTTTTATTTGCTAATTGACGGCTTCCTTCAAGTTCATGTGCTTGTAAGCAATATTAATGCGGATTGTAAGTGTCAGTTCAAATTTATGTGTTTGAATTGAATTCCACTAGATCCTACTATCATAACAGTTTATAATATAATTTATAACGAACCACCTTATTATTTAATTGTCAATCTTTCTTTTCACCCATTCGTAAACAAACCAAATTTAACTTCCGTACTATTTAACTATTAATCATCATTAACTCCAAATAATTGGGTCATCGTACAAAATAAATTTTACAAAAGCTAAGTAATATTCATATTGACAAGTAAGCATTTAAAATTCTAAATTAAATTAAAACTAAAATTCTAAATCATCAATTTCAAAGAACTTGGTCACAATAGTAGCAGTTCTTCGGAATTATTAATATTAAGATAAGCATTATTCTAATTTAAAATCATATAAAAGCATCAATGACAATTGTAAAAAAAATCAGTTAATGTTCAATTTGAAATAAATTAACATCGCTCAAAATTTAAACCGTGTTTTTTTAAATAAAGAAAACGGCAACACAAAAGTGGCGCAGTCGGTAGGATCCGCGAAGTACATTACAAACAAGATATGTAATTACGTTTTAATGTTTTATAAACCTTTTTTTATGTTGTTCTATAGACCTACTTTAGAAATTAATTGCCAAAACAAATAATAATTAATACAACATTCCAGCACACCTACATATTTATAAGTTTTCTTGTATTATGTTTAAACTGCTTGTACAGCATTATTATATAATATATTTGGATTCTTTTATTGTTACATATAATTTTCTTTATTTAAATTCATTGGCCATTTGTTCATTCAATTTTGCAATGTTTTTTAATTTTGCTTACATAGCATTTAATGTCTGCTAGTGACCGACCTACTTTACTATTAATTTGTATCAGTATTTATCAATAGCATTTTTAATTAATTATGTTAAGAAAATTATATATATAAAGAAAGCCAAAAATAAAGAAAAGTCAGTCGTCTTTTGTAGTGACTAAACCAAGCGTTTTATTTGTTAATTGACGGCTTCCTTCAAGTTCATGTGCTTGTAAGGAATATGAATGTGGATTGTAAGTGTCAGCTCAAGTTTATGTATTTGAATTGAATCCCACTAGATCCTACTATCATAACAGTTTATAATATAATTTATAACGAACCACCTTATTATTTAATTGTCAATCTTTCTTTTCACCCATTCGTAAACAAACCAAACCGTACTATTTAACTATTAATCATCATTAACTCCAAATAATTGGGTCAACTTACAAAAGCTAAGTAATATTTATATTGACAAGTAAGCATTTATTATAAGTTCAATCACTCTATAAAATTAAAATTCCAAATCATCAATTCCAAAAAACTGGGTCATAATAGTAACAGTCCTTCTGAATTATTAATATTAAGATAACGATTTTTTTTTATTTAAAAAGCATCAATAAGAATTATAAAAATCAGTTAATGTTCAATTTGAAATAAATTAACATCGCTCAAAATTTAAACCGTATTTTTTATTAAATAAAGAAAACGGCAATACAAAAGTGGCGCAGTCGGTAGGATCCGCGAAGTACTTTACAACAAGATATGTATTTACGTTTTAACGTTTTATCGCGGAATAAAAAGGATCTATAAAAATAGACCTTCCAAAATTTAATAAAAAGGATGTATAAAAAATAAAACCTCCGAAGTTTTGTAAAAAGGATATAAAAATCTAATATCCTTATCCTTGAACAAAAGTTCATATATTAATCACTAATATTCCCTTTCGTGATAAAAAAAGATTCGCGAAATACATAACAAAAGTGTATGTATTTACGGTTTTACGTGGAATCAAGAACAGCAAGGTCCCATCAAATAGATCCTCCACGATTAAAAAAAGGATTATTAAAAAAATAATATCCTTAATCCGCGATTTAAAAAAAGGAATATTAATCGCTAATATTCCCTTTCGTGATAAAAAAAGTGGAATCAAGAACAGAAAGGACCTATAAAAATAGATCCTCCACGTTAAAAAAAAGGATTATTAAATAATAATATCCTTCCGCGGATAATAAAAGAATATTAACCGCTAATATTCCTATTCGAAAAAAAATAAAATAAAAAAATCATCCGCTGAAATAGACACATACCGAAAACAAAAACTAGTGAACAATTAACATATCTAATCAAAAAAAAAAATTACATACAACAAAACAGACACTTAAAACGAAACCCTCTCAGTAATTCAGACGTTCGATATATTTCCATAAAAAGACGCAGACTTCCACGAAAAGGACGCATAAGAAAGACTAGTCTCGGTGAATTCCCTTAAACAACAAAATAAATATAACAATGGACCGGCTTCTACTACTGACATTGATTACGATTACAACGGCATAAAATATAGATATACAAGACTTGACCAATAATAATGGTTACATTCCAATAAAAGTTGGAGAATTCAAACCAATTTCACACTACAACAAAGTCTTACACATCGTGAATCTTACAGCATGCCAATACACATTAAACACTATAATGGAAAATATCAACACTATCAAAGCAACTACAGTGGATAATAAACACTATAGATACAAATTTCGACCTACTTCAAGCTAAAATAAATAGTCTATATCCTCATTTTAAATCAAAACGTCTATTAGTTAATATATTAGGAAAAGGATTAAAAATAATAGCAGGAACAATGGACAGTGACGACGAAAAAGAAATTGAGAACAAACTTAAATAACTTTTTTCTGGACATTCAAACTTAAATAACAAAATAGACGAACTGACACAATTCAATAATATTATAGCTTCCCAGACAAACAACTTCAAGAGAACAATACAAAATAAAATAAATACATTGGAAGACGAATTCACATATATGACACAAATTTATCAAATAAATAATGACATTATGCTATTTAAAGACCATATCGATGACATAGGACAAATAATATTTTCAAATAAATTAGGAATAATTCCAACCAACATCTTAACCAAGACCGAACTAGACCTTACAACAGACTTAGACTATTATAAAGATATTAAAGTTTCAGTCGCTTTTCATAATGAAAACCTCATAATAATTTTACAAATACCTACATTACCCAATGAATACTTCTCTAAAATATACTTTGAACCTATTCCTAATACATTTAATAAATCTATAGAACTCAGCCTAATAGAAGTTCTAGTTGATTCAAATAACTATATTTACGAAACAAGTGTTGAAAGCAAATTATTAAAACATATGATAAAAGTTAACAATAAATGTTTAATAGATATTTTAGTGTTTAAAGAGGCTAAATGCCCGGTTGAAATTTCTAAATGGCACAATTGTAAAAGAAAATAATTCCTGGTGTCTTAGTATTTAAGCATTTTTATGCAAATATCAATCACAATTGTAATCAAATGAAGGTGAAACAAAAAGGAAACTTTGTAATTAAGTTTGAAAATTGCCAAATTGAAATTTTTAATGAAACGTACATGAATATACATATAAAGATATATGATAAAATCATCCTACCTAACATTGTGACTAAAATTAAAGAATTAAAAAACATAACAATTAATCCATTAGAATTAGAATATCTTACAACAAAACAAGAAAAATATGAAAATAATATTAATTAAATATTATATGAAAAATAAAAATATTATATTAATAAGTTCTAGTATTGATGTAATACTTATAATTTCCATTACAGCAATATTTATTTTGTTTATAATGAAACCCAAACAAAAATTTGTAATTTCGTCGGAGCCTTAATCTAACGGTGAGGGTGTTATAGCCACACCAATGTTTATAATATAATTTATAACGAACCTCCTTATTATTTAATTGTCAATCTTTCTTTTCACCCATTCGTAAACAAACCAAATTTAACTTCCGTACTATTAAACTATTAATCATCATTACCTCCAAATAATTGGGTCAACTTACAAAAGCTAAGTAATATTCACAAATGTAGTATTACAAAAGCTAAGTAATATTTTCTCCAAAGAACTGGGTCACAATAGTAACAGTTCTTCGGAATTATTAAGTTAAGCATTATTCTTATTTAAAAATCATATAAAAGCATCAATAAAAATTGTAAAAATCAGTTAATGTTCAATTTGAATTAAATTAACATCGTTCAAAATTTAAACCGTGTTCTTTTAAATAAAGAAAACGGCAATACAAAAATTTAAATCTCACTACCAAAAATATCAATTTTGAACTCCGTCTTATTATAGCCCCATAAAACTGTAGCCCCACTATTCGATATTGTTAGATTTGAAATCATATTTTTCTTACGTATTATTCGATATATTCGAGTTCCTATTTTCTCCTAGGAGACCCCATTAATTTTAGATATTTTGATTGTCATCCTCATGGTGGAGGATATAAAAAGTTCGGCGGTGCGGAATTTGACATCTTTTTTACTTGTTTATTTTGGTTTCTGCTTGTGTAATCTTCCTACCAAAAATGTTAATATTGGCCCAATTTTGAAAGTAGTTCCCATATAAAGGCACTGTCTTTTGTCGGTATTTTTAGGATTTTACATATGGGTTTTAGCAGTAACGCGTCATTTTCAGTATGTTCAAACTCCAACCCAACGTGGGTAGATAATTTGCCACAATGTACCATTGCACCATTTTACTCCCTTCACCATGAGGTGAACCCTCACAATAACGATTGGGAGAGAGGCCCAAACATTGAGTAGCATATTAACAAGTATATAACATTTAGATGATCCAACCAGACTGACAGCAAAGACAAATACCAGACTATGCCTATAGCTGCCGAATGTGCCCCATCAAATCGCGATATGACACAAGAACCCAATTTTTTGTCATAAAAAAAATTTAAAATTTCCAACATTTTCTATAAATTAAATTAATGTTAAATACAAAAATGAATGCAATATTAAAAATCAACACCTCCAATCATACTATTAATATTATGTAGTTTTTATCGTTTTCGTTTCCTCTCCATTGCTAGGTTGTACCCCTTTAGTGGCATAATGACAGCCGACACGAATACATTGACTTAATTCACGTTTCTGCAGCCAAGCATGTAAAAACCCGGCGACAAAACAAGCATCGGACATTTCTGCATCGGATTCGTCTTGGTCATTTGACGGCGGCGGCACATTGAACGTTTGAAAGGTCAATGGTCCCGGCGCACAACCTTCTCGAAAATAGTTGCTAATCAATTCAATGCCATCGGCGCCTTTATTTATTACAAAAATGATCGGCGTTGATTTCGACTTCACTATATCCTCGGCCAGTTCCCTGGCACTTGATGCACCCCAACATTTCCAGAACACCTCAAATTCGTTGAGTTTTCCAAATACAAAGAGAGCATTATTTACCAAATATAGAAGATGATTAAAGTGATCTCGAACAACGTATTCTGCACCGAGATTCAATGCAATATAGCGGCGACCCTGTATATAAGTCCGAACAATGTAGGTGGTGACAGCTTCTCTTTTGGGAATAAAAAATCCTTCAATATAGAATATCTGCATACGTGTTTCTGGTCTGAGTATCGCTGAACTCTGATCATTCATGACAAATTGAAGATAATTCACCGAAAATTGTGTCGACGCACCACAGTTTGTGTATAGGGCTCTAGAGTCACTGTATGATAAGGATATTCGACGCCCCGTTGGAACATTGTCAACAATTTGCACTCGTAAATAACTAAAAATAAATTCGAATTTTTCTGTAGATACTTTTATGGGTCCTTGTTTGAAATATTACCTTCTGTCAATATCTTCCTTTTTGAGTAGCTTGCTGATTATTTTTGACTCTTCATCATCTCCACAGGCGCTAAAAAATATTGCTTCGGTTCCCAGTTCTCTTAAGGCACGTACCGTACGTAGTGCTGATCCACAAAGTTCCACCTTCAGACTTCTAAATGCGATGAAAATTATTCATTATTGTGAATATCACATAACAGATTTGTTGAATTGCGTTACTCACTCATTAAAGTCGATATCGGATGTGATATCCGAAAACGTATTTAAATTCTTCTCTGCATCAAATCTGTTCCAACTTTGTCGATGCCGGTTCAGCACTTTGGGATCATCTATATTTGCATTGTAGTTTAGAATCAAATTTCCAAAAGCTAAAACTTTTCTGCAAATTCATACATTACATATGTATATAGACATTCGGAAATCATGGCAGTTAATACATACATTGTTGATATTTCCTTAGTTTTTACACATGCAAGGTTGGAACAAGTAAAGTCCATTATTATCGCAATACCTGAATAAAAATTAAAAAAAGCACACACACATGTTACTAACACCACGCGGTAAGGCGCAACATCCAATAATTTTTCCAAAAATAGTACACATTAAGGATAGGTCCACATGTTCAATACTTGGACTTACTTTTTAGCCAGTCAATGAATGTTGTGCGCCCTGAAAAACAGGAAACAGTAAGACAAACGTAATACTTGGAATTCTATAGTCTTTATGAAGTTCTGAAGTTCTTCATGAAAATATAAAAACTATGCAGAGACATAGGAAAAGTTCTTACAGTTCGGTGTTTTCCACTAATACTCTGCACATCATATTTCCCACGCAGACAATATTGTGCAAATGTAGCCTGATGTGTCCTTTTTGGAGAGAATTATTTTTTACCACTGGCCTGCAATGTAAAATTACAGCCTTTTCGAATGGAAAATGTGACAAAAATCTCTCAAAACAATTAAAATTGGGCGGGACCTGTTTATATATGAGCTACGTCAAAACTTCAAAACTTTGACTTCAAAATACGCAAAAGAGGGCGGGAACAAAATATTGGGGTTATGGGCAAAACATGGACCAAAATTTATTGCTTTCCACATAGAAACATGCCCACCTCCAAAAACAGGGAGTACTAAATTATAGCCAATTTAGTAGGCAAATGCCGCTTAAACAATCAATGCAGAAAATTAGGCTGAACTTTTATTATGGACGTTATATCAAAACATGGACTTATAATGATAATTTTATATGCAGCTTTATGACAGCTTTGGAATGCCCAAATTAGAGCATTTTCGGCGGGAAAATGAGGATACAACTTTCAAAATACCGAAACTTCAATGCTCAGCAAACTTCAGCAATGCTCCATTGTCGGCCCATGAGTTGGCATGGCTTCTTATATGAGTCGTTTATTTTAAAAGCGATTTAAGGGGACCCCCCCCCATTCTCGGGGTCAAAATTTTTGTTGATATAATTCGAATCTACACTAATTAAAGAATGTCTCTACAAAATTTCAAGTGAAAATCTCAAGAACTCTTGAAGATATATCCGATTTATTGTGTCAGCATCAAGTGACGGCTGAAGGGCTTCTCAAACTTTAAATGCGTTTTTCTCTAATCATTTTTTTGCGAATGGCGAGCACGATAACTCAAAAACTAATAATCCAATCGGTTCCAAATTTTGCAACGTTTCTCTGGGAGAGCATAGCTCTCGTACGAACTAGGATAAAGCCAATCGGTTAAGATCTTCCATATTTTTAACTTGGTTTTTGGTAAAAAATCGGCGATTTTCCAAAAATATTTTTTCCCCTTAAGGGAACCCCACCCATTCTCGATTTTAATTTTTCAAGATATTCAATGGGCTGGTAAATCAATACCAATGCTTTTTAAGGTTTGTAACTTTGCACATATATATTTGAAATTTTAAAAGAGAAGAAAAATAATTTACAAAAAATTTTTGTTATTGTTTTGTTGTTGTTTTTTGTAATTAAAGAAAAGTCCTTATTTTTAATGGCGGGCATGATAACTCCTCAATGGAACATCGGAATCCGAAAATTCCAACGGTGTTAGAAAGAGCACATGTCTGGCTCTCGTATGAACTAGGATTATTTACTTCGCTCTAAAATTAACAAAATGGCGGACCTTTGAAAAATATTTTTGGAAAATCGCCGATTTTTGACCAAAAACCAAGTTAAAAATAAGGAAGATCTTTACCGATTGGCTTTATCCTAGTTCATACGATAGCTATACGCTCACAGAGAAACGTGTAAAAATTTGGAATCGATTGGTTATTAGTTTTTGAGTTATCATGCCCGCCATTCGCAAAAGAGAAAAACGCGTTTAAAGTTTGATAAGCCCTTTTGCCGTCACTTGATGCTGACACAATAAATCGGCTATATTTTCAAGAGTTCTTGAGATTTTCACTTGAAAATTTTTTGGGACATTCTTGAATTAGTGTAGATTCGAATTAAATCAAAAAATATTTTGTGTTTGATTTGTGTTTCAAAAATATTGTTAAGTGGTATTAATTTTGTTTGTGGCTTTGTTTTAGGAGGCAACGTATATATGGTACTTGATATGTAAATCGTGTCATTCCGTTTTTATCTCCAACAAATAATAATTTAATATTAGCGTAATTCATAATTACAATCTAGTCATCTTCGGGTGTGCCAAAGTTATATGTATAAGAAATAATCGTAATACATCTCAACTGTATGGAAAATGTTGACGAATGAATAGTCATCTTTCTAAAAATAAAAATCCAAAATATCTTGCAGACATCTCTCTTAAACCGATCGAATAATTTACAACCGTATACACAATCTCACTTGTACACTTCATATTATCGTGCTTTCGGTTTAGTTGGCCGTCCAACGTTATCCATGATGTTTCACCTCACTTATCTTTATTCGACATATGAATTATATTCTCTTTTTTTAGACTTTATGACTTCAGATATATTTTTATTGGACAATGGACCAATATAAATTGAATTAAATCTTATTTCGATTTTTTTTCATTACCCCAAAATCTCTCGGTCAATCCAATTAAATATATATTAAATATATATTGTTAAATATATATATTTTTTATATAATTGGCATTAAAAATTTATTTATAAATAAATTTCACTTTTTGTAGTGATTTTCCTATAACAATATTTATTTACTTATTTATTTTTTAAAATTAAGCAAACACGAAGAAATATTTTTTTCCACTGGTAATTTTTGCATTACACTCCATGAAGATTTTAACGTAGACTAATTTAAAATATTTTATTTCATTATTTTATTCTGAATTGTATATTTATTGTTTTATTTATATTTTTAATCATTTGCGGTTTTGACAACAAATATTACAGATGGACAGAGTACAAACGAACACGAGTTGCTTTGAATAACAGAAATTATTTTCGTTTTATTAATGGCTTTCATATGTTTGATATTTGAAAGCAATGTATTAAAATAGTGTTTGACTGTATTGTATCATCATTACCACATATGTTAAAAATATACCAAAACAATATATGGGAAATTACAAAATTCTTTTAAAATTCCATTAATTTTTTTTAAATTTTTTTTGCGAGCACATTTATAATGTTTGGTACATATGTTAAGAAAAATATGCTGATTCGAAATCTGTTCGCGTTCACAAATCTGGATGCTGCGCACAAAAGTAATAGCGGTTTTAATCCTTGTATTTCAAATATAAATTAAATGAATTTCTATTTGTTGTACATCGCGAATTTCTTCACAAACGGATAAACACATTTGTTTTCTTTGTATACTTCTCAAATCGCATTGAAATATGGTTTAATAGTCGCGAAAAAACAAATAAAAATATGAAGACAACTGAAAATAACATAAATTAATTTTTTATTTAAGAAAAACTTTTTTTTTGAATTTTTGATTTTTTAGTATGGTTAAGGGCAGAGATGGCCTGTCAGAAACAGTGACGTAAATGACATACATTTCCGACGTATAATACAAACGTCAGAAATGTCGGAAACCTACCTAAATCCATTAGGTTTTTGACAAAATAGCTATTTCCATTAATCAATTTGGGAATTACGCATGCTTTACTCAAATCGATATAAAATTTCAAAATTTTCTTCTCAAAAAAATTTAGAAATTTTTATCAGTTCTAGTAAGGAATAGTCAGATATATGTAAAAATAATATATATTCTTGAAAATAACTGTATATGCTGATAATATTGATATAAATGATGTTTACTACGTTTATTACATTTTATACAGGTATATGACGTTTTCGACGTTTACACCTTTTTGACAGTCGAAAACCTAAAAATTCGTCACACGGACCATCCCTGGTTAAGGGAATACGGTTTTGCCTTAATGTTCTAAAATAAGCGACGCTTTCTTCTTCGATTTTTTTAGATGATTGTTAAATATCGGTAGATTCTTCTGATAATAATTTCGACTTTAAAACTGACTAAATATATTGCACTAACAATACATAAGAATGGTCAATATTGAAAAGCATGCAATTCGCGTATTCGCGGAAACCAGTTGTTGCGCATGCGGTTTTCGTATAAACCGAATCAATCTCTTCCAATAATTATGAATTTTTCGATATATCATTTAGCGGCTAAAGGGCGCAGCTCGATGCACTTTACTATGCAAAATCCTTAAAAATGACGCAAAGTGCATACGATTTTAAGTAATCTCCTAAAAAAATACACAAAAGGACACCTATTTTAAAAGGATCGGTTAAGAACCGCAGATGTGCCTCCACAATCGATTTAGGATAAAATAAGCATATTATTCGTGTATCAATATATTTTTGACCTATTT